ATTTTTATAAAATAAAAACCAATAGAAATTATAACGAAAAGAGCTACCCTTTGTGAGACCTCCTTTGTGCTGTGCGCTGATAGACACTGTATGTGTGCTGCTTCTAATCTTTATAGTTACCCTGTCCTAGGGTTTGGATGTACCCCACTAAAACACATGCTGCAGTTTAGTTGTCAGTGTGGCAGTGTTGGGCGTTGCCGCCCAGTGAGAAGTGTTTAGGTCACAGGGGTGGATTCCTCATGAATTGATTAATACAGTCTCAATTAGAGAAGGTAGTTATAAAGTGAGGTTCCTCCTTTGGTTTGGTCCCAGTTTTGCACATGTCTGCTTCCCATTTGACCTTCTGCCATGTTGTGTTGCTGGACCAAGGCCCTAACCAGAAGCCTGCACCATGTCCTTGAATGGCCCAGCTTGCAGGACTATTAGCTAAATAAACCCCTCACTTTTTTTTGAGGTGGAATCTCACTCTGTCACCCAGGCTGAAGTGCAGTGGTCTGACCTCGTCTCACTATAACCTCTGCCTCCCAAGCTCAAGTTATTCTCCTGCATCAGACTCCCAAGTAGCTGGGATTACAGGTGTGCCCCACCACACCTGGCTATTTTTTTTTTTTTTTTTTGGTAGTTTTAGTAGAGACAGGGTTTTGCCATGTTGGCTAGGCTGGTCTTAAACTCCTGACCTCAGGTGATTTGCCTACCTTGGCCTCCCAAAGTGCTGGGATTACTGGCATGAGCCACCGTGCCCGGCCTAAACACTTTTTTTTTTTTTTTTTGTAAGTTACCCAGTTTTGCCTATTCCCTTATAGCAACACAAAACTAAGGCACCCTTCAAGTTTTTTATGAGTATCACACCAGTTTATGCATATGAAAATGGAGGATTACTTCTCCCAGTTTTATAATTACACAGTTATTAGTATTTTTGTTGTTCCTAAACACAGCAATTCACCGTTTCATTTAATTAACAGTAAGAACCTAAGAAGTGTGAAACAAACTGAATGAATAAGCCATGTTTCTTGTCTGTAGAGCACTTGTCTTTACTCTTTTAAAGAAGACGCGTACTTTAATCCAGATTCAAAATGAGAAACAATTGTAACAGCTCTTGTTGTTCAAGCGTCAAGTGAATCCTTGGATTGGATCACCTTAAAGGTTCTTCCGAAGCCTGATAGTCTAGTTCCCAGAGGGTTCCAGTTTGTGTTCTTCGGAATCCTAGGATTCTTTTGAAGTGTCTCAGAAGCTGCAAGGGGAACAGGGAACAGATTTGTGAAGACTATTGTAGGTTCTCTAGTTACTACTTTAAATTGAACAGCTTCAGTTTTATTTGCTGTACTAAGTGAGGTTATATGTAAAATGTGTTTAAAAAAATCTGAAAGCCACCGATATATGTGGTAAGTATCACAGGAGTTTAGGGAAAGTCACAGTTTCTTCAAGTTTTCTCTTAAATTTGTCTGTATCTCATTTTGTTTGGCAGCCCAATAATACCAAAATAAGTTTTCCACATTCAAGTTCCTTCTGTTTTTCTTTATGATCACTTCCTGGATTACAAAATCAGGTAGTGGTTGAGAGCATCAGCAATGGCATCACATTGCTTGTATTAGACGTCTAATACAAGTAGTCACCACTACTTATGACTAGCTGTGTGACACTAAGCAATTTACTCAACCTCTCTGAACATCAGACTTCCATGCTCTAAACTGGGGATGATATTAAGACTTTTTCACAGGGTTGCTTTAAGGATCAGATGAATATAAAACAGATGCCTCTTTTAAGGTAACTAATCAATAACTGTTAGCTATAAGTATTAAATGGCTGCCTAATTATGGAAGTCACCATCAATAATGCTTGAATTCTTCTTTTGGACATGATAAAAAGGCCATCTTCAATAAACTTCAGTATATCTGAGTTTCAGATACTGTATTTGATTTTGACTTTCTAGTCATATGGTGCGTGGCTTAATTTGTATTCTTTAGTACTATGAATTGCTATTCTATTGTTCTTACTGTGTTGTTTTCCGGACTCCTGGCCCTACATCAGCAGTTTTCTTTAATATTATTTCTTTATCTACATATATAAACTGAAATACAGGATTTATTTTAATATTCTTCTGTACGATCTAACATAACACATTTTTAAGCACCTTAGAAATATGAAAAAGAGTGCCTTCAATTTACATTCAACTCCAAGACTACTGAACACATCTTCCTCTGTGAATATATTAATATTTAATACTACTATGGCCTTGATGTAGATGTCTACAGATATGTCTTCTTTATTTTTCAGAGTTTTAGCTTTAGTCACTTTTTCCAAGTACCTGGTTTTTTTTGGTCAAAATATGGTTCTTTAAACAGTGATTTGTTATAGAAGAGCTAGATTCACTTCAGATTTATTGACTATTCAGTAGAAGTTCTCTGCTCAGAACAGTGTGGTGATTGCTTAGCAATAATCTGGCATGTCATCAACTGAGGCTTTCCTCCATAAAAATAATGTTTCTTATTTGTTAAATTGTTTTAGTCTTTTGCTTGAGTGCTTGAAACTATTTTCCTAGGCCCCAGGTGTAATGTCGCTGTCTAGGCCCTCCAAGTTTGTTACCTCAGACTTCTGAATAAAACTAAAGAACTTCACAGAAGCATTTCTGTTTATTTCTTGCTTCCAAATACTACACCAACATGATGGAAACAAATTATGATACCATCTTAGAGAATTATATATCAGAGCCCACACTAGCTATGTTTCCATGTGTATTAAATCACCAGAAAAAAGAAGACACTATTTTTTTTTAAGGATAATGCTCATTGAATTTGAATTTTACAACACCCATATTTTTTCTAAAAGGTTCTTGAATTAATTAATAGAAGCTCTCTTACTTATTGTCTTTTTTTATTTTTTGAGATGGAGTCTTGCTCTGTTGCCTAGGCTAGAGTATAGTGGCTCAATCTTGGCTCACTGCAACCTCTGCCTCCCAGGTTCAAGTGGTTCTCATATTCAGTCTCCTGAGTTGCTGGGACTACAGGCACATGCCACCATCCCTGGCTAATTTTTGTATTTATAGTAGAGATGGGGTTTAGCCAGGCTGGTCTTGAACTCCTGGCCTCAGGTCACCTGCCTGCCTCGGCCTCCCAAAGTGTTTGGATTACAGGCGTGAACAACCGTGCCGGGTCCCAGTTGCTGTCTTATTTCATATTCTTAGAAACATCTTTTGGCAGTCTATGCTTTTGTTTCTAAAGCCGTAATTGATGATTATATTTGGGAATTCATTGTTATGTTATACTTTGAAGATGATATATTATACTGCTTAAGATTTCTTCATGTAGCTTCCTTTTTCCTGATTCTGCTAATACACATATAATGCTCTTGGTTTGGTGAGTTGTCAAACACACGATAATTGATTTTAAATATCTTCCCCTCTGACTAAACCTTGTACACATTGGAAAATTTTCTAAGGACTAATTGAAACTTTAAGTGAACAGAACACATTCTTTTATTTATTTATTTATTTATTTTGTGTGTATATTTGTATATGTTAAGATATTTATTTCAAATAATTGATTGGTGCAGTTATAGGGGATGAGAAGCTGGGGCGGGCAGAGTTGGGCTGGGTCTCGAGGTGGAATTTCTTCTTCCGTGGCAGCTTCTGACGGGTGCCCTCATGCCACGCCCTTTGTGGTGCTTGGGCTTTGCTGCAGAGCATCCCATATGAAGACAGCACTGGGAGAAGGCCAAACGCAGGCCCTTGCCTGGGGCGAGGGACTCCAAGGCGTCCAGACGGAGTCAGTTGGCCTGAGCTTGGAAAGTGTTTCTGTAAATCTTGCTTGGGCACCTTCCATTCTCTCCCACTCTCTGGAACTTTCTACAAATCCTCTTCCTGGTGGCCTGGCCTCGCTGGATCTCGGTGCCTTCTTATTCCACTTTCTGGGACGTCCTCACCTCCTCCTCTAATCTTTTCCTTTCTTGGGTTTTTAGAACTCTGAAAATGCCCAGCAAGTGCCTGGTGCGTGGAATGGAGCAGCGGCTCCAGAACACATTCTTAACCAAAAATATGCACATACTATGATACAGACAAATGGAAAGGTTGTTAGAGTGAGTATAAGAGAAACCATTAGCAGAATGTATCAAACATGCATAGTTTCAGTTACACAAGTATCATGTCAAAGAAATTACAAAAGCTACAATTAGGGAAGTGGCTGAGATTGGTAAACAACATGATCACATATCAGGAGTCACTTGAGTAGTTGAATTGACAGCTTATTATACTGTATTCAGTGGCTTCCTTTTTCCTTAGGATAATTTGAATTGGTCATTCCCAGTTCTAAGTGACATTAACCTGCCATGTTTTGAAAGAACCTCTTGATACCTGATACACACTGTTATGTTTTCAGCCTCCTTTAGAAGGATTTCTAACTTTCCTTTTTCCTTACCAAATTCTTGTAAGTCAATCATGTTTAACAATGAGAATATTCTTTTAATTGGTGCTGTTCTTCCATCCTGACAATATCCTTTACAGTAAGGAGGTGAAATAATGGCAACACATAGAAAGGAAAAGTTCAGTTTGTTATATTGAGACTCTGCATAAAAATGGTATGTGGAGTCTCAATCTAATCTACATGTTACATATAATGGAAACAGACCTGAGGCTTAAGTGTCACAGGTTTTGAAAAATACCTACAAGCAATTTGAGTCCTTTTGTAGATGATTCTCCCACTGTTATACTGGACCAAGCATAGAAAGTTAACACCAAGACAAAAGTATGCCAAATTGCAGGGTCTTTATTATGCCAGCGACCACAGAAGACTCACGTCTCTCCAACCTGTGGCGTTGAAAGGAGGGTGCCAAGACTTTTTATATCTGAAAAACCACCTTGGGAGTGGGGGTGAGGAGTGGGGATGGGGATAAAAAGGCTTCAGACATTCCGAGGGCTAGTGGATTCTGTAAATCACCTCCTGGGCAGAGACAAGGGTTCCGGATAATCCAAGAACCAGGGGACTTTTGTCATTCCATTTGTTACTTAAGTGGTTTACAGAAGTCAAGATAAACATTTGTTTACACATTATCTGGGTAAGGTGGAAATCTCAGACCTTAGTTACTTATTACAAGTCGCAGGAGCCAAGATGGCATGGGTTAGGACTCCTTGCCTGTTACATTAGGGCCACAGAGGGCAGTTACTGATAAGCAAAATTTAAGCAGCTTTACATAGTGGGCATTTTTCAGAGCAAGCCAGCAGCTTTATTTACAGAAGCCAAACACAGCTTTAACTTATAAAATGGCATTGCTCAGGTTCTGGCTCTAGGTCAGCACAATATCACACCACATATAAAAATTTTCATTCATGATCCAGAAATTGATAAGGATTCTTGATCTGTGTTCCTTAACCACTTCATGTAGAGTAGTAAAGGCAGATGTCTATGGTAAATTTTGTCATGGATTTCCATTGGCTATATTAGTCATGTATATGGCAGAATCAATTGTGAGTCAAAAATGCATTTTAGAGACGGTATTTATGTGAACAAACCATAAATTTTCTCCACATAATGTGATGAGACAACAGTGACCTGTGTTTTGAAATAACAGCTATTTTTGATGACAATTTTATAATCAGACCACATACCAACACTAATGAATACCATACAGTTTCTAGACAATTTGTCTCTACCACCTTGCCAACATCCTATTGTTAAGGGCAAAATTTTGAATGCAAAATTGATTGTATAATTTAGTAAACCTGACAAAAGTCTGGTCAGTTTGGTAAAATATCTACCATTTGCAAAGACAGGTGGCTTTAGGTATTTGAATCACCTGTTGCTTCCCCTACCCCCCACTTGAATAATTGAGTCATCAGAAATCTTAATTAATGTCATGAAAAAATTTCCTTAGAAAAAGGTTGTGATCAATACAAATTAAGGGACATGGTCTTATTGAAGATGTCTTGATTCTAGGCTTAACCAGAAAGAACTGTTTGTGTCTTTCTGTCTTTCAAACAAAAATATGTTTACCTAAACAATATTCATACATAAGCTTATATATTAAATGCCTATAAATCTTTAGGCATTGGTCTAAACATATATGAAATGATTGCTACTCTCAAGGATCTTATAGGTAGAAATGAGGTCAAGTGCCTTAACAATTATAAAATGGCATTCAGTTAGGCTTATGTGTAAGGTGCAATAAGAATCATACCTAATTTGCACTCAAATGGATGGGATAGGGAAGCCTCTGGGTGAGAAGGTAGTAAGTGAACTAAGTCCTGAAAAACTAAATAAAGGGAGTCATATGCAAATAGAGAGGATTATATGGGTGGTGGTATTCTAGGAAGAGAGAGTCATACCTACAAACACAGGAGTTTAGAGGAAGCAGGGTACACTAAAAAACAAACAAAAACAAAACAAAAAACACTTGTAAATTACTTAGCTTGAAAGCAGATGTGATAGTAGGAAAGTGTCAGGAGGTAGGGATTAAGGAGGATAAAAGGTCCTATCTTTTATATGTATGCCTTTTCAATTTGAACTTTATTATGAAAGAAATGAAAAACCAAGAAAAGCTTTCAATCTGTAGTTCCACACAATTCAAACTGTATTTTAGAAAGATCAGTAATGGCAATATGGAGAAGAAATTGAAAGGCAGCACTTGCAGGAGGCTGTTGCAATTATCCAATGAGAAAGAAGGCAATCCACAAGAATGGAAAGAGGCTGAATACTGGAGAACACTGAGAACACAGTGTCAACAAGACTTGGAAATGAATTTTATGCGTATGCTGAAGGAGGGGAAGAATCAAGGATTCTATTCAGATCTCTTAATTAGTCATAGGACTTGATATGACATTCACTGAGGTAGCAAATCTAGAACAAAAAAATTTAAATTTGGGGGAAATGATATGTTCATTGAAAAATGTGCACTTTGAATGAAGAGACCTTCCAAACAGGCTTTGTGTGAGCAACACGGCTGTTTACTCACCTAGATGCAGGTGGGCTAAGGCCAATAAGGGCAAAGAGCAGTGGGATAGGAGTTGGTTTTATAGGTTTGGGTAGTTTTTTTGGAGGCAGGGGTATTGCAGAGTAAGTTCAGTTACAGTGTTAGGGGGTGGGGCAAGGAGTATACAAGTTCAGTTACTATGGCAGGGTTGGGTGAGAGGTAGTTACATTATCATAAGAACAGTGGAGATGGCAGGGTTGGGTGAGGGGCTTGTGGGAAGTTCCGCTGGTGATCTGGGACAATGGCGAACACAGGCAGAGGGTGGGAGGCTTCAGCTGAAGCAAGCAGGACTTCAGACTTTCAGGCTTGCATATGGAGACCTGACAATGTTTTTTTGTGGATATGCTGAATTTTATGGTACCTGTGGTATCTTTAATAGAAGATACTATCTGACTCCTCTGCACTTATTATTAAGGGCAATTCACATATCAAAGATACTGGTAATCAGGGGCAGTAGTTTGTTTTTACTTTTATGTGTTGAAATGCTTGGCTGCTTTATATCTTAGAATTACGTTTTCATATCCTCTTTTTAGTGGACTATCATGTTGTTCAGGAATATTATGTCTTCTCAAAAGTCTTCATAGCAGTGAGGAATTTAAGGAGGCTTAACCTTATTGTTGGCTGGAGTAAGTGTGTGATGGATTGAATGTCCTTTTGAATGGATGAAGGAAAAATATCACTGATGTTAATGTGACGACACAGGGTTTTAATTCTTATGTCTCCTTCAGGTGATGAGTGTCCTGAAATCTTTCCACGAGTACAGTGTGTTCATCCCACAGTAAGAAAACACTTAACATCTCCTCTCCACCTAGAATACTAAAAAGATGACCTTCAGAAATCACTGAAAAAAAAATGTCTACAGCAAGAGAAATTCTGAACACAGACACTTTACCTTAAAATATAAAGTTTGGTTCCTATAGTAGTTCTTTATGAGATTGGGGAAGGTCAACAGGTCCTCAACAAAGACAGCAAAGAATGTATGGACTTAGTGTCCACTTAGATAAGGGTGGTTTTTATTCATAACATATTCTAGGATTTAGAATCTTATTTAAATATTAAATGTTAGAACTTGCGGAGTTCTTTGGCAAAGTGTAATTGGTCCAATTATATTTTAAATTCTACTCAGCAGGCATTTATTGAGCATCACTTTTGTGGAAGGTATCAAGGACATGAATATAATATATTTGTTTCTCCTAAAAAATGTTTAAAGCAACAGGCATAGTAAGAATAATATGTAATATACAAAAATAAAATTCGTGAGAAAATGAGTAACTGCTCTAAGAAACTTGGGGAAACTTACTTAAGGAGATAGCATTTGAATGCAACTTTAGAGTATTTTGAAAGGTGAAAGTTAGGACCAAAAGCAATTTTAGAAATATGAACGGAGACTCCAAGCCTGAATAATACTTTCTATGCAGCAACCAGAGAATATTATAAAATATAAATCATGCCATATTGCCCCTCTCATACAAGTAGAGAAAAGACAGCTGCAAAGACAGTCAATTGAATCACCAATTGTCCACGTTTTACATTTCTCTGTATCCCTTAGGGCTAAAATTTTAATTCTAGTTACAGTTGAATTAAGATAAACCCAGAATCTAATAAAACAAATTAGGCTTTTTCTTAATTTGACAATTTCTTCTATTTAGGACTTCCTAATTGTATGAAGGCCATTGACAAGATAGTCATGCGAATATTTCTTCCAAATTTTGGCCTTTGTCACTACACATGTTCATAGCAGAGCTTCCAACAACACCAATGCAGTCATTCATGAAACACCAAAAAGTATAATCGTGAAACAAATAGTCACATGGCTCCAACAACTATGGTAAAAGACCATGTAAAACAATATGTATTAAGATCTTTTTTCCTGGTCAACTGGCGAAACCCCATCTCTACTAAAAATACAAAAAATTAGCTGGGCGTGGTGGCGCGCGCCTGTAATCCCAGCTACTCAGGAGGCTGAGGCAGGAGAATTGCCTGAACCCGGGAGGCGGAGGTTGCGGTGAGCCGAGATCACGCCATTGCACTCCAGCCTGGGTGACAAGAGTGAAACTCTGTCTCAAAAAAAGAAAAAAAGATCTCTTTATTAATAATTCCGAATAAAAATCAGAATTGATTTCCAAATTTCAGGTTTTAATCTTTTTGAATTAAGTTGAAAGTTGTGGTGCTACTTAGAGATATTTTGCCAAAATGCTTGTGAATATGATTCTCTGATTACGTAAAAAAAAAAAAAAAAAGAGATCACTACATTCTATGTAACAAAAGCAGCCTTGGCAACTTGTGGATTCCATTCTCATGCCTTATAAAATACACCCTTGCTTCAAGCATCACTGCCTATTTCAGAATTTATAGTATACAATGCCAAATTTGAAACCAATTCCTGGAAGGTAAACCTTCACATCTTGGGCAGAGAATGGCATTTCTAAATGGATCTATAAGTATTCTACAGTGTGCAGTTATCGTTGCCGTGAACTTCCTATCGGAACGTTTTAGGAGGCATTTATATTAGAACATATTCCTTTATCCAAAGACATATATGAGTATAGCCTATTTTTGAACTATTATAAATGTTAAATTTGGTTAAGAGAAGTTTGACACAAGCAGCCTATTCATTTATGAGGTCCACATTTCAAAATATCTAAGGAATTCCTAAGCCTCTTGTCAAAATGTAGAACAATATTGTGACAAACAGAATTCTTTCAGAAATTTTTTGATTTAATTATTTTTAAATTTAATAGACTATTTTTAGAGTGGCTTTAAGTTCACAGTGAAATTGAGTGGAATGTGCAGAGACGTTCCATATCCCCTCTTCCCCCACACGTGCACAGCTTCTCCTATTATCAGTATCCCCCACAGAGCAGCACATTTGTTACCACTGAAGAACTTACATTGAAACGTCATTGTCACCTGGAGTCTATAGTTCACATTGCCATTGTACATTCAACAAGTTGGGACAAATATTTAATGACATGTGTCCACTATTATAGTATACAGAGTTTCACTTTCCTGATGCCCCTGTGATCCATATATTCATCCTTCCCTCTCCTTAACCCCAGGCAACCACTGATATTTTTACTTTCTCATTTGTTTTGCCTTTTCCAGAGTATCATGTGGTGGAATCATGCAGGATGTAGCCTTTTCTGATTGCTTCTTTCACTAGCAATATGCATTTAAGTTTCTTCCATGTCTTTTTGTGGCTTCATAGCTTATTTCTTTTTATTCCATTGTCTGGATGTACCACGGTTTATTTATCCACTCATCTACTAATGACAGACATTTTGGTGGCTTCTACATTTTAGAAATTTTTAATGAAGTTGCTATGAACAACTGCGTGCAGGTTTTTGTGTAGATACAACTTTTCAGTCCCTTTGGGCGAATATCAAGGAGCAAAGAATGTTGGACTGTATGGTAACAATATGTTTATTTTGTAAGAAATCACCAAGTGGTCTTACAAATGGCTGTACCCTTGTTCATCCCACCAGCAATGCATAAGAGGTGCTGATGCTTCACATCCTTGTTAGCATTTGTTAGTGTTTTGGACTTTGCCCATTCTAATACATGTGTGGTTGTGCCTATCTCTTGTTGTTTTAATTTGCATTTTTCCAATGACTTAATGATGTGGAGCATCTTTTCATATGCTTATTTGCCATCTATATATCTTCTTTGGTCAGGTGTCTGCTAAGGTCTTTGGCCTATTTTTTAAATCGGGTCATTTGTATTCTTAAGAGTTCTTTGTATATTTTTATTTTACCTTCTCCAATGCTCTTCATGTCTTTAAGTAAGTCAGATTCTCTGAACTTTATTGTTTTCCTTCTCTCTAAAGAATTTCTTTCAATATTCCATGTAAGTTTCTTGAAAACAAATTTCCTCCACTTTTTCCGAGAAACCCTTTTTTCTTTTTTTTTTTTCTT